CCCAGCGATGGAGCTTCAGGTAAACTTGGGTCCAAGGACTCAACATCATCGGGTATCAGGCTCCTTCTCTCGGCTCTGCATTCTCTGTGCTGGCTTTATTCCCAGGTAGACTTTCCATTTATAGTGACAACACTGATCACCAGCAGCTGCCACAGGCTTATAGCCTACCTATTTAGCAGCAGCTCCTGAAAGACTGACCCTCAACTGTTTCAACAAAAGTTTCAGGATTGACTCTTTTTGCTTTGGTCTGGGGCATGTCTCCATCACTGAACCAAGTCCTGTGGTCAATGGAGTGGAATTGGCTCTCCTAAGCCAGGCTTGGGTCAGAGTGAGAGTGACCAACTCATTCCAATTTTCCTGGGACTTTTCTGGTTTCAGCACTGAAAGTTCCGTGCCCCATGAAAGCCCTTGGTTCCAGGAAAATTGGGATCGTTGGTCACCCTAGGCCTCCATGCTGGAGATGAAGGGAGATGTGGTTAGCCCCAAATGACTCCCATAGACTAAATGTGAAAACAAAGTGGTTTCCCGGAGGAACCACCGGGAGAAGAGGAAACGAATGTTGGGCAGGCAAACCCAACAGAGAGATGTCCTCTCCATTTACCCTTCTAGATTAGAGGTCCTTGAAGGCAGGTACTGAACCTTACTTATTTTTGTATCTTTTTAAAAATTGGAGCACGTTTCTTTCTACCTAGGAAAGCCTCAAAAGACTTTATACCTGCACAACATTATTAAATACTTGGAAAAATTCCTTTAGAGTGAGGAATGTCGAACACCGTATAGTTCATGATGGATAATACAGATTCACTTTTAACAGGAGCATGTAAAAATAGTTTACCATCTTACTTGATTGAGATTATTAAAAAGTAATCTTGCAGAAAATGGGGTGGGTGGAGAGTTTTAGTTACATAAACTTTCAAAGATCACCGAAGCACTGTCATTCCCACCGTCCTTTCCACCCCCTATATTAAAGATAAAACAGGCTTCGTCTTTACATCACCATCTAATATATATTAAAAAGTGAAACTTAAAATACCGTAAGTGATTTGAGATTCGATTCACTAGTTTCGGTTTTGTTGTTTAATCCGAGGGAGCAGTGGACAGGAATTGTTTTCTTTTGGGCAGGGTGTGGCTTTTCCTCTGAAACTTTGTTTCTGTGACTTCTAACTTCTGACCCATTCCTGCCAGCAATGAGTTATGCACCCCAATTAGGAGTTTAAAAAAGAAATAGCTGCATAAAAAGCAATGTCTCTGATCTAGAAAACATGATAAAAAAAATTTAAGTGTTTTATGCTAATGCTAAATCTTGAAGCTAGTAAATGGGGGGGAAAGGAGAAACTGCCTCTAACATACTGCTTCCAAACCTGACTTTGGCTGTGGGAGCAAAGACTCGAATTGTAATTCGTTTTTGTGAATTTAGCCAAGTCAGTTCTCTTGGAGGCACAACATTCATTCGTAAATGATGAGTTTAGATTATTTCTCCTTGCACATTTCAGTCTCTAACACAAAATGGGTTTCAACTTCCTCCATATTTCTAAGATTTATATAAAATTCCTTTTTCGAGGGGCTCCTGGGTGGCTCAGTCGGTTGAGCATCTGACTCTTGATTTCTGCTAAGTTTGCGGTCTCGAGGTTAGTGAGTTTGAGCCCCTTTCCTGGCTCTGAAGTGTTCTGTGCCTGCTTGGGATTCTCTCTCTGCCTCTCCCCCACGCACATGCTCGGGAACACACACACACTCTCAAAACAAATAAATAAACTTAAAAAAATTCCTTTTTCAAGAGCTAAGCTGAAAGAACATTATAAATGAATGTTATTAGATTGCCAGCTAAATAAAACAATTATATATATATATGTCTAAAAATCACTTCAGAAATGAAAAATTCATGATACTGTTACGCTTTCTTTTATTATCATTAAATCGCTCCAATGAATCTATAGTATGCTTTGTGGCGGAGTTTCTTTCACTTATTCTGCTTCACTCCCATCGAGCAAGGAAGCACGGTGTGGGAAAGATCTCATCTCAAGGTTTGGACTGAATCGATCGCCTGGTAATTCCACATTCTTTGCTGGCTTAGATTTGGGCATATGACACAATTCTAGTTCAAGTAACTGAAGGAGATGGTTGCTGGAGGCTTCTGAGACAGAGGGAAAAAAAAACCCTAGAAATCACGTCTGTTGCCCAGTGAAGTGAAAAATGAATCATATGGCTCCTTTTGCTACTGTTATATTTACTACTAGAGGAACCAGATTCCAAGTCTGTTAATAGCCCAGTGGAGAGTTAAAAGAATCTAGTACACGGTGACACTGTTGAGTTGCTAACATAATCGGTCCTGAAGCCTACATTACCTCTGGACTTCTTGTTTCACAAGATTATAAATATCCTTGTTAGTTATGTCCATCCAAAACACATTTTCAGTTGTGGTTGAAATAGTAAATATTTGAAGGATAACAGAATCTTGGTGCCAAAACATCCTTATGAATCATTTTGTCCCCCTGTTCTCAACGACATTATCTGTAAGAAGGAAACCAGACCACATAGGACTCCCCGTTCTGACCCCGCCACGT